GTGTCTTCTTTTTTTGTCAAAAGTCCATGTCTTAGCGCCATGTAAGAATATGGGGAAGATGTAGCATTTCAGCATTTTCTTTCTTAAGGTGAATTTGAACAGTTTGTGCATTTCGTTGAATCTAGACTTTATATTTGCTGTTATGTTTATTTCTTTTTTTTACTTCTTCCATCGTCAGCATATTGTTGCCCCTAGATATCTGAATTGGTGTGCTTGTTCGATTCCCCTCACCATCTACGGTTGTGTTTATTGTTTTCCAGTTTTTGATATGACCAATGTTTTTTGTTTTCTTGGCGTTCATGTCGAGGCCTGCCTTGCTGCTGTTTACTTTTACTGCTTTCACAAATTTTGAAAGATTATTACTATCATCAGCATTAGTTGGCTGTTATCATTTTTATGAAAGATCATAACCATTTGTTCGTTCGCCAATGTCTGACGATGACTAATGCATCAACAGAGAATATAGAAGAATTCATTAAAGGTTAAGATTACTCGTGCGTCTGCTATGGCCAAGGGGGCCAATTCTGGAAAACAAAAGCATTGTCATATTTTGAGTTTTTAAAAGCTCTATTTCTACTTGTGAATGTGTGCAGCTTGCAGGCCACTCTCTCTTGGCTCTGGCATATTATCTTATTCAAGAAGCCTCATTTGACTCTTTACCTGCTGTGACTGCTGCTCTCTCTTCAACTAAGTATATCAGGAGCTTAGCTCTCCCATCTCAAAGAATGTAAAGTCGTTCCGAGACCTTTTCAAGGTGTCTTTGATGCACATTTTGGTGGGTCAATTTTTCGCTTCCTTGGGGACAGTCTTTCGTGATTCTGAAATCCGGTATTCTTACGGCATGGCGAGCCCAGCGAAGTTGTGTCCTTTTTAGCTAGGAAAACACTCTTACAATTTGACCTTTGTCAAACTTCGGTGTGAGGCATTTTGTCCTGTGATTTGATTCTAAAAATTCTCCTGGGGCTTTTCATGCAGAAATGATAAAGCTTCTTGGCATGGCTTTTTGCACACTGTCCAGGTCACGGCATCGTACACCAGGGTTGGGAGTACTACAGCACTGTAGACTTGGATATCTTGTTGAGTGGTCATTGTAAGGGCTTACATTAACAGATATTGCCTACTGAATCTTAAACAAAGAGGAATTGTCACAAAAATGTGTCTGTCATTATTACAACACATCGGGTTTCCAGTTGGGCAGTTAGGTGATTTGATCATAGTCTACTTTCTGAAAGAACATGTCCCCTCCAAAAGGAAGTATAGTCACTGCTCAGTTCTTTCATCAGCGATTCTAGGTTTAACTGAGAACAACGATAACGAGTCCATAGCTGTCTGCTGGGCTCTATTGCAATTAATGATCGCTGTTACACTTTCAAGACAAGAACCATTATCCTGAAGTATACGAGTTTTTTTTCGACTGCCTGGTAGCATCCTTACTGATCGTGG